TGTCATCACAGAAGAATTAAAAGCATCATACCGCATCAATATATGCACACTCATGTTTGTAGTGGCACAGTTTATAATAGCTAAATCTTGGAAGCAACACAAATGCCCATCAAACAATGAATAGATAAAGAAGATGTGGTATTTATATACAATGGAGTACTATTCTGCCATAAAGATGGTTAAATTTGAATCATTTGTAGGAAAATGGATGCCATAATCTTAAGTGAAATAAATCAGATACAGAAGTTTAAGTATTGCCTATTTCTCTTGTGTGAGAAACCCAAAAGCTAAACAGGGACAATAATAGAGGATAGATATTGGGAAGTAGGAGGAACGTGTTCAAAATGGAAGGGGAACAAGGGAGGGGGAGGGGAAAGACAAGGAAAGGAAAAGGAAAAAAAGAGACTGGAAGGAAAAGATGGAAACAAAGCTTTTGTAAGTGGGGAGAAGAGGAAGGGTTGAAGGGAGGGGAGGGGGATGGGACCATAATTGAAATTTATTACATACAAGTACAAATTCCCTATGACAAATGTGATCAATATGTATGACAAGTAGGTGCTAATTAAAAATAAAGCAAAAAAAATAATAACTTGCCAGAGATTACCAAGTTAGTACCTGGCAGAGCTGAGATAAAAATGCAGAGGTGTAGGGTTCTCTTTTGATAGGCTTTCTGAGCCTCAATGCTATCATCTGTAGTAATGGGTTACAAGAAAACATCCCCCAAAGCAACCTTTCTAAAATTAAAAGTGGTTATGTTGTCAAATACTTAGTTTGGTGTCTGGCTAAATATTAGCTATGAATCTTATTGTACCACATCGTATGGCAAAACTAGGATTGTACAAAAGAGGTTCGTGTGAAGGTAGAAAGTGGTGTGTGGCAGCAGGAAAGAGGTGGGCTGTCTTTTTCTTGGGGTGTATCTCATCCTGCCAGCTTTGAGCAGGAAGCACGAAGAGGTTAGAAAAAAACTGTGAGGATCTGGTGTGGTCTTTGACCATTCAACCAGAGAACAGCTTTTGGAATTCAACACTATTAGCACATGTTAAAAAGTATTATTACTCAATAACCACCTTTCCTCAAGAAGATGAAATACGCCTGCTAGGAGGCTGCTTGAGCACTCTGGTGACGTTTTAGGATATTTAAATTAGATTATTGGCATAAAGAAAAAATAGCTGTGGAAACATTTTTAAACTAAAATGTTTCCACTATTCAATTAAAATTTTCAAAAAAATACTATCCTTGTCAGATATGTTTTCTTTCCTCCTTAATAAATATTGATTTCTCTCAATGAAGATTGATTATTTGTTCTCAAAAGGACGTGTGTTGTGTTAGACCGTTAGGCTGTACATCAACCAGGCTTGGAAATGATTCAGAAAATATAAAGAAAATAAATACTCAGGCTGAAAGGTAATAGGCAAATTAACATACTCAGTCTGAGGCAGTAAGTTTAGAAAGATTGCAATCAACCATGCATTTGGGATCTGTGGGACTGTGGGGACCTGCAAGCAGAGTGAGTCTGTGCCTCCTCCATCCCCTCTGTGGGAAGGTGGGGGCCTGGGAGCAGGGTGAGTCTGTGCCTCCTGGATCCCCTCCGGGGGAATGCAGGGCCTGCGAGCAGAGTGAGTCTGTGCCCAGCACTTCCTCCATTGTCTCAGGGATGGTGGGGTCTTTGAGAGGAGTGTAAGGACATATCCTTGGTCGAGCAGACTGACAGGAGCCCCAAGACCTGAGACACAGGATAACAGCTGGTTCCCAGGTGCACAGGCGCACACGTGACCTTGGAGGGCAGAATAATTGGTGAGACCAGCAGAGGGGAAGTGTCTGACGCAGCAGCGAGGAGCAAATGGTTGAACTCTGGAGACTCCACCAGCAGAAGTCCAGTCCCAGGCCCCACACCCCGAGGCCAAGATCAGCTCTATACCCAACACATTTCTGGGATTAAATATGGACACTATCACAGACCTGTAAGAACCAAAGGTATTTTTCTACTTTCATTCTCCCTTGTTTGTCTGATTGGGTATTCCTCTCCTGTCTGATTGCATGTCATCTTGTTTTCTTCTGTATTTGGTAGTCATTTTTGTATTTGGAGTTTTTATATTTTCTTTTTCTCTCCTTTCTTTCTCTTATCTCCTTTTCCTTTCTTTTTTCCCTTTAGTTCATTTTCATTCTCTTTCTCTTGTTCCTTTCTTTTTTCAATGTTTAGGTTTCTTACCTTTTTAAAATTCTCCTCTATAGACTCACTTTCTCTCTTTCCTCAACTGCTTCTTGAATTTAAACTTTCAAATGAGTACACATTGTCTCTGCCCTTTCTGACTACTCCTTTATATTCTATTTCATTCTTTCCCTCCTGTGTCCTCCAGTTTCCCAGTCTTGGGTGATCATCCTTTAATTTCCAGCCCCGATTTTACTGTATTTGACCTCACTCATCACTGTAGCCAATCTCCTAAACATCTTAACACCCCTGCTCCAGACAGAAGGGTAAAATCATCTGACTAAGGGGAAAATCACAGCATATAAGTGCACAGTGTATGTTTGATTTTGTTACATAATTTTAAAGTTTACTATCATGGTCAGAGGTAACAGGCTAATGGTTACCATAGTTTATCAGTAGTTAAGATGCCCTTGAAGCTATTGTTATTACTAA